TGTGTGGTTGGTGATTAAATTAAGCTAGGATGCTAAAAAGTAAATCTATTTAAAATTTTTAATTAAACCAGTAGAACTTGTGTTTGTAGACCAGCATGGTTTACACCAGTACAGAATTCTTCAGTGCAAACAAGGCCTTAGGGTAATGTAACTCCAGAAAAACTGATATTTAAGAAGTGGAAAAAAATCAAACCAAAATTCACTATAGCTAGGGTGAGAGAAGTGATCTAACACATCTACACAGGCTACAAAACAAGGCTGTTCTACAGTATTAGCTTCCTCCCAAGTGCCTGTGGCAGTGATGCTACATCAACAGCACAGGTAGATCTTGATACAGTAACGGCAAAGCATTAAGAAACACCATCTTTTAATGGAGGATCTCAAAATCCCATGAGAAACAGCATCTATTAAAACAGTAGTTAACATAAAGATGATCAGGCTGCTGGGGCAAATCTTCCTGTAACATCCGTATTAACAATAAATGTCTCATTCCTTTTCCCGTTAAAGCCAATAGCAAAAACTCATTTACTTTAATGGAACAGGATTAAGTCAATTAACACCAGGATAAAAGGCTGAGATTTTTTAAAATACCCTGAGGGGGTCAGGTGCCCAACTGCCACAAAATTCCAGCTAGCCTTTGTTCTTTACAAATCCCCAACCACAAAAGTTTTAAAAAAAATAGTTAAGAAAGAAGAAGAAAAGGAAAGGAAGTGGATTGTTAATGCTGTATTAAAGAGCATATATTTAAACAAAGTTATCTGCAGTCACCATTTAACAGCAGACTCCAGATGGAACTATTAACAAATGAGGGTGTGGGGGTTTTTGTTGATGTTTTTGGGACAGGGGTGGGTTTGGGGGTTTTTTTTTTTTTAATTCTAGGGGATGGCAGGAGAATAAGACCAAGTACTTTGTAAGGAAATACTTTAAGCTAAAATAAAGAGGACAGAGAAAACAACTATGCACTGAAAACAAATGACAGTTCAGACAACATACTTACTCTGTGCCACTTTCAACCATCTGCGTAAGGAGAGAGATACCATCTAGGTTTATAAATTCCTGGGCAAACGTAACATCCCGCGAGTAACTGGCTAAATCTTTCAGTGATTCTAATTTGGCATCCATACTAGAAGACTGGATCCTCTCGTGGAGCTGCTGTGCATTTTGAGCCTCATTGGAGACAGAAAGAAAACATAAAAAACCCACCAAAACCTTAGTTATAAATGTAACAATGAATACATTTATGCACAAATAGTAACAATCATCATACTTAATATTAAGAACGCATTTCCCCATAGTTCATGATAACAAGTGGTTAAGTAACACATTATTAGTTAACCACACATAATCTATGCATCTGTTTCCTACTTAGATAACCATCCATGGGTTACTTATAATATTTATTTAAAATGTATTTCCCACTATTATTATTTATTACAGTTTCTATTCTACAGTAGCTTCCAGGAACCCCAGGACCCATTTGTGTTAGCTAACATACTAGAAAACAGCCCTTGCCCTGAAGAGTTTATACACCCCTAAAATAACAATAATAAAGCTAGGGGGTAAATGGTGGGGGGAAAAAACCCAAGAAAAACAAAAAAAACAAAAAACCCAGGCATGGCAAAAAATGTAATCTCACCATAATTTGGACAATAAAAGGTTCTCCCAATCTATACTTATTCCATTCAGTGCACTTTTCCATCTCTTTTAACCAACAGAAATGCACTTAGATTCATGTATCTAAATTATATGCAGAGTATACATATTACTGTTTTCTTTTCCCTTCTCTCCCTCCATTCCTTTACCCCACCTCCTTCTGCTTCATTCTCAGATCTCCAGAAATACAAATATTCTCTATGTGGAACGTGGAAATTAATTCCTCTTACAGTGTGTGATGTTTATCTCACAGCTACCTTCATATTAGCTCAGTTTAAATATCATTTAAAATGTTTTTCCCTCAATGCTTTATTAGCACTCTTGCCAAATAGTTAATAAAGAGCTAAAAAAAAATTTTATTTAAAACATTACTATGCCCAAAATCCATATAAATCCATTTTGTTCATTTAAGTAAATCGTTTAACACACACCAGTCTCACATTTTTAGTTGATGCACTAAGTAATATTTGCCTGGCCACAAAGTCCAAAAAACTTCAACTAATAACAAACCAATATTTCCAATTGTGAAAGAGTCTTCTCTGCTTTATTCAGATTCCTGTACTATTCAGTTTCCTACTGCCCACTTCTGACGTGCACTGAACAAATCATGAATCTGAAGCAGCAAGCTATTAGGAAACCAAATTAATGGTAAGGTCTTGTACAGTTACTCTCTTGAATGGTATATTTACACTTCCTTAGCTAAAGGCAGGGAAGAGGGAAAAAAGGGAGAAGCTGCTTTGGCTGACAATTCATTTTCCATACAATAAGCCTTCTATATCCTCAAGGACAGCATGCTGTACCTTTTAAGATTTGCAGTGCAAGGTGTTATTATAACTGAACATTCTCGAACAGGGAAAATGGGAACTAATTAATGATAATAAGCACTTATACAAGTCTTTCTATACATGGATCAGAGACTAATTTATTAATGTTTATACAGTAAATGTCCCAACAACCCTGCCAGGTAGGCACGGATCATTACCTCTCATTTTCTGGATGACTAAATTAAAACACACAGAGTCTTGGTCTATATTTAAATAGGTTTTTCAAGCACAGATATGTCAGTTAGAAATGTAAAAAGCTGGTACCCCCTAACTGATATAGTTCTGAGCAAAAACCCTAAGCTGTAGACACAACTTGTGCCAATAAAAAGACATGGCAAATCACTTAACCTCTGGGTTGCCTTGCTGGTGAGACTATAATAGAAAAATCTCACTGAAGACACAACTGAACCACCACAAAACCCTTTTCCCCATATTGCTTATCCATTTCAGGTGTTGGTTTACCTTATATTGGCAAGAGTGTTCTTATAAAGTTGCAACTCTAACAGAGGTGTTCACCAGCACATGTGTACCAGCAAACCCTTTAAAGCAGGGTTCAGTATTGCCAACCCTACCATGTCAAAAATCATGAGAGAAACTTTTTAAAATCAAGAGATTTGGAATGTAAATCATGAAATGCTATTTTTGAAGTGTGTGCTTGTAGGGGGGTTATTTATGAAGGTGTGGGGGGCTCTGTGTGGGGGGGTTTAGAGCCTGGGGAGGGGGTGTTGCTGCACACCCTGGTAGATTACAGGGTACTGTGGGTCAGGAGTAAGGGGCAGCAGCAGGGCTTAGGGTACTGTGGCTTGGGAGTGAGGGGCAGACACACATACAGACACATACACAGACAGATGCACATAGACGGGTCAGGGCAGGCAGCAGGCAGCTTGACCAAGAGTACAGGGGTGTGCTCCCTGCCGCTGCACACACCATTGGGGAGGCATGGGGAAGTATGACCCCCCTGATTTGTCCATGGAGCAAAAGCATGCTGCTCACTGGTGCTCTGTGCCCTGCTGCCTTTGCCCCAGGAGCTGCAAAACACCTCTGGGCAGGCAGGGGACACGTGGTGTGGCCAGTGTGCAGCTCTGTTGCTCCTGGACGAGCCACCCACAGCTCTGTCACACATCCTGCCCTTGCCCCAGGGCCCCATTCACCCCAGCCCCTGCCCCGCTCCCTCCCTCACCATGGGGGCCTGGAACTGCCCCCTACTCATTCCCACTCCCCCCCTGCCTCTTCCCCTCCACAGACTTACCAGCACAGCACTGCTGTACATGCACCAGAAGAAAAAATCCCAAGATCTGATCTCTCTATCCAGAGATCATGAGTCAGAGTTAATTTGACTTGGAAGTTGGGAGTCTCATGATTTTTTCATGAGTTGGCATTAGTGAGGGTTTAAAGGCTGATATATAGCTGTCAGCTGGATCTGGCCTGCAGAGGTAGGCCATCTGGCCTGCACGGCTTTTTACTGAAGCTGCCAGCAGCCAAGGTGTTAACACTGCTGCTGCTCAAGCCCCATTACCATGGCTGCTGGAGCTGCAGTGTCAGCGCAGCCACGACACAAGAAGTAAACATGGGTGCAGAATTTAATGGTTTTAGTCATGCTGGCAACTAAAAATTGGCAGCATTCACCCTCTGGATGCTGGTCAGGCAAACATTGCAGATCCAGCAGCCACAGGGACAGGGACTGAATGGAGGCATTATTAACTCCTTGGCTGATGCAGAGGTACAACAGCCATGGCAAAAACTCTAATCAGCCAGATCTGGGGGTGGGTCTTCAGCCTTATGAGAAGCCCAGTGCTCTGGATCCTGCCCACTAATTCATGAGTCCGACATCCTGCTTTAAAGTACAAGCCAGTCCAGAGTTTAAGTGATTTCTCTATCCTATTCATGAAATCTACAGTTTATGGCAGAGACAAGATTGAGTCTCACAAGGGCACTTGATGCTCAAAAGCTTGCCCAACAGCTCTTTCAACTATATAGCTGAGCTAAACAAAACCATTTTTAAAAAAGTGTTGACATTTCCAGGACAACCACAGCTACAACAACACTCCAACCCCATTTAATATTTCCACATAAATCTCATAAGTACTTTCCTACAAAATACACCTCTGCCCCTCAAGAAAGAAAAGTTTTTGCCAATAGGAGCCAAATTGTCTATAATACTGTTATAGACAGCAATGTTTTAGAACCTGGCTCAGGTCTGAGAAAGACTGGTGGTCCAGCTGTTGCCAGTGCCACTGCTTCTCCTACTCCCTGGCTGTAGCATGGGCACAGCTCCCTGCTGCCTAGCCCTGAAACAAGTGAAGCCCCCAATGCTAGAACACTGCCAAAGCCAACCACAAGTCTGCATAATTATCTATACCAGTGGAGGCTAAACTTTTCAGCAGGTGTGACAAATTAAGGCATTTCCACCACCACCCCCACCTCCTGAAATCCCACTCTGATCCCTTGCCTGATCTGCTGTTCTGCTTTCTGCTGTACATGCTGATCTGCTCTTCAAGCCCTTCCTTGTGCTCCCCAAATCAGCTGCTGCTCTGCATTCTGCCTCCTCCCCAATCCGCTGCATGTCACATGTAAAAGCTGCCCATGCACTTATAGCATGTAGGACATAGACTGACCACCCCTAATCTATACTGTTTTATGTCTTTAGCACTAACAATTTACATCATCTGTATCGGGTGGGGGGTGCAAGGACTATCTATTCAAACAAAAGTTCAATCACTTCCTTTCTCACCAACCTTTCATTAAAATTTTCCTTCTCTCACCTAAGATTTCATACTATTACATCCACAAAGAAAGTCTAGTTGCTGGTGTGAATTTACATCCACTAAAAGCTCTCAAAATAACTTTAACTTCCAATTTCTTACCTACCACAGAATAGTCACTCTGACAGGTCTTCAATGCTTCTAAGTAATTCAGCTGGATGACATCATTAAAGCACCCTCAAAGCCAATTCTGATCACTACTGCTCCAAGAATAGGCACAAAACTACAATGTTACAGCTCAATCTGCATGGGCGGAATCAACAAGTTTGACAAAGATTCATAAATGCGTTTTCGACAGATGGTTGGTTTGCATGACTGAGGATAACCCCATTTTCTAACCAAGTTTAGTCAATGTAGAGGTGAAAAGTTCATGTATATTCCAAACCTACTATGACAAGATACCCTTTGCTAATGCCTCAGCAGATGTATATATAATGTGAACAAGATTAAACTACAGCTTTGTAAAGGTCAAAGGTGAAATCCTGGTCCCAATAAAGTCAACAGGAGTTGTGCCATTGATTTCAGTGAGGCCAGTATTTAATCCTAGGAGCAAAGTCCTTTCTAGATAGAGTAGCCATACCATGAGGTAACCTTTCTGTGATGCAAAGGTGGTTAAAAGTAGTTTTGTCTCTACAGATGAGAGCTCAGTTATATTCTAACTTTCATCTGTCTACTCCAAGATAAATACCCCATTAGCAGTTGTGCAACATTATGGTAGTGTCCTGGGAAGCTAAGTAATGCGGGGTACTCACCTGCAGCTTGGGATGGAGCCCATGTGGAGCGGAGAGAGGAACCCGAGCAGCTTGTTATCCGCCTCTATGTACAGCTGTGGCCGGCCGGTGACGTCAGCATCAGATGCTGGCCAGCGAAAATAAAAATGGTGGCCACTGCTGCGGAGGGGGCAGATGGCCAGAAGGCAAGGCTGCAG